CTTTAAACTACAGCCTTTTAGTTAGCCATTGAGTATATTAACCATTAGCACAACCTTCACTTCTTAGTGGGTTACGCACTGGGCTGCTAACTGCCAGGTCAGTAGTTCAAACTCACCAGTGACTCCATGAAAGAAAGATGAGGCTGTCTGCTCTTGTAACAATGTACATCCGTGGAAACCCACGGAAACAGGCAATTCTACACTGTCCTACGAGATCCCTATGGGTCAGAATTGGCTCGTTGGTGGTGAGTTTAGTTGACTTTTTGAATCCTTGTATCAGTGATTACATAAGGAACATTTACTTCCACAAATCCTCTAAATTACAAGAGAACCGATGGAAGAAATACTTGTCTCTCCCACAGATATTATTTTATTCCATCTTGGAGATACGACATGTATTCGGTTCTGCCAAGCTGTGCACTCAGCACTTATAAGGCAGAACTTACTTAAAGTGAGTCAATACACAAAAAGTTCATAATAATACACTGTTATGACTACAATCATCATTAAGTGTGGCCGGCATTCAGGATAGTGGATAGGGGTGGGGGTGCAGGTAAGTGTGGTCCTTGCGTTCCAGGGATCCACTCTGGAGTCATACAGAGAAGGCGGCGGACATGTTAACTGAGTACAATAGGGACAACACTAAAATTTAAAGTGTCCTTGGTCACTTGTAGGAGCTCTGGGCCAGTAGCGGCGATTTGTTGGGCTGCAATCCCCAAGGTCACCCCCAGCCACTGCATGGGGGAAAGACAGGGCTTGTGACTCCCGTAAAGAGTTACAGTCTCAGAAACCCACAGGGGCAGTTCTCCCTTGTCCAATAGGGTCACCAGGAGCCAGAATTGACTGGGTAACAGTGAGCTGGGTGGGTTGGTTCGTCACTGGTACACAGTTAGTTGGAAAACCTAATGTGATGCCGGGGTGAGGTGAGGCTGTGTTCCAGCTGGACTCCCGTGGCTTCAGCAGGAGTGATTCTGCCCCCATTTGAAGTTTGGAAAAGCACGTTGGTTGTCTCAACGAAGGGTCATAGGGGCAGGAGGTGGTCTGAACGTGCTACTGACATCTAGTGGGAAGAGACCAGGGGTATGACTAAACACCCTAGAATATACCAAACAATTCCCCCAAAGAGCAAAGAAGCATCGGGTCAGAAATGTTAATAGTGCCAAGCTTCAGAACTGAAATCTGAGCGTGTCTCTACTCTACACTGACGTGTGTCCCTCAAAAAGGCAGGCTAAAATCTGAACTCCCAGACCTCAGAGTATGACTGACTGTGTCTGCAAATGGGGTCTCTGAGGTGGTTATCAGTTAGGGCCTAACACCAACTGGCTGGCTTCCTTATAACCAAGAGAGGCAGGCACATGCACAGGAAAGGACTCCAGGCAAGCGCCCACTGTGCGCCAAAACACCGCTTGGGGCACCCAGAAGTTGGGAGAAACAAACTAAAGATCTTCCCCAGATCCTTCCAAGAAAGCGTGACCCTGAATTCCGCCTTGTAGTCTCCGGTGCGGCACTATGGCAAAACCTATTTCTGTTCCTGGAAGCCCCTCAGTGGTGCTTTGCTGTGACAGCCTTAGGTAACGCCATTCATAAAGGAGCCCTCCTGGTGCAGTGGTTTTGCGCTGGGTGGCTAACTGCCAGGTCAGCAATGTGAGGACAGCGGGGGGCTTTCTACCCCCATAATGAGCTAGTCTCAGAAACTCACAAGGGCGTTCTCCCCTGACCTATACATAGGGTGACTGTGCATGGGCATCTCTGGGATGGCAGGGAGTTTTGCTTTTTGGTTTGGGTAGTGTGATCAGCACACAGCAGCTCACCAGAAGATCAGAAGTTTGAACCCACCAGTGGCTTCCTGGGAGAAAGCACCTGGCAATCCATCCCGGTCCTCCTAGGCGCCCCACTGACCCTGGTGGGTGAGCGGTGAACTGCTACCCACAAGTCAGCAGTTCAACCCACCAGCGCCTGCTCACCCGAGAGATGAAGCCATCTGTCCCCCTCATAGTTTACAGCCTCGGAAACCCTAAATAGGACCACTCTGATTTGGAATAGACTTGCTGGCAGTGGGTTTGGGTTGGGTTCGGTTATAAGGTCCCTGTGAGTCAGAATGGGCTGGACAGCACAAAACAACAGCAAAAAATCCAATAACCCTACTGTCATCGAGTTGATTCTAACTCCTGGTAACCCTGTAAGAAAGGGAAGAACTTCCCCTGTCAGTTTCTGAGACTCTAACTTTTTATGGAAGTAGAACGCCTCATCTTTCTCCCAAGGAGCAGCTGGTGATTTTGAACTGCCAGCCTTGCAGCTAGCAGCCCAACACGTAACCACTATGCCACCAGGGTTCCTTCCCAACAGGGAAGTAGCTCTATAGCTGCCATCCAGTAGCCTCCTTCACAAAAGGGCACAACATGGCTCCTTTGTGGCCTGCAGCTCTCTACCACACCTGCTAAAATCCCACTGCCATCAAGTCAGTTCAGACTCATAATGACCCTAGGAAGTTGCCGCGACTATACAAGGGTATGGGAGCAGGCAGTCTCATCACTTTTGTCTTGCTGAGCAGTTGATGAGTTGGCACTTCCCGCCTTGCATTTAGCAGCCCTAAGCTGATCGCACAATCACCACCAGGGCTTCCGCAGATGCTGTTCGATAAATGGATAGAAGAGCAAGCTCATTCTTTCCATATCCATTGCTTGTGCACCTATGACTTAGACATTTGCGTAAGAGATAAAGTGAGGGAGCAAAGATTCTACTCAAACACTGCAATATACTCTTTTATAAACCTAGCACTTACAGAGATCGGGGGTCTTGGTGGTTTAGTGGTTACGTGTTGGGCTGCTAACTAAAAGGTTGGCAGTTCAAAACCACCAGCCGCTCATCTTGGAGAAAGATGGGGCTTTCTACTCAAGCAAAGAGTTACAGTCTCCGTTCTACCCTATCCTTTTGAGTCACTAGGAGTCACATCGACTCAGTGGCAGTGAGTTTGTTTTGGGGGGTGTTACAGAAATCATCTGGCAGAGATCCAAAGAAAGGGCGCATAATCAGAACATCATCAGACGAGTGCAAACGGTGGGCAGTAAAACGGTTGAAAGCAATATTTTCTAAAGAAGTATATTCTATTTCTGAGTGAATGTGCCTCCACAACTCACGCTTGGGAGCAATGCTTTCCTCAGCAACGGAAGGTGATGACTCAGAAACAGACGGTAACATCAAGGGGACAGAGTTGCTTTAGAAGCAGATTCCTCAAATGAATGTAATATACCCTGGGGTTCTTTGGTTTGGTTGTGGGGGCTGTTTTTTAAAATTATTATTTAATATCATTTTTATTGTTTTCCTCCAATCCCCTATGTCTTAAGAGGCAGTGTGCTTGTCAACAGTAAGCCCAACGTAGTGCTTCCAGAAATCCTATATAATAAGATTTAGAGAGCAGTCAGAGTTAAGGACATGTTCAAAATAATCTCCCCAGCAAGCACACGGCTTTTACTTAGATGGCAAATTTCTTTAAGGAAGCTAAACTTCGTTGGCTAACAATGCACTTTTTAAAAAAGTAACTTTTCTATGCTTCATACACATAAGTAGATGAACATGGTAACGGTAGACTGATGGAATCATTCATTCGCTGAGACTTTGACTCTTTTAAACTCTAGCGTCATGGTAGTCTTTTGAATTAGACACACACCTAAATAACTGATCCATGAAAAGGAGAGGTGAAGTAGTCCAGGGGAACCTACAATGCGCCTGCAAAGGATAAAAAACAAACTAACCTCACTGTCATCAAGTAGATGCCGATCTCAGTGACGCTATTGGGCACGGTAATGCTGCCCCAATGAGTTTCCAAGACTGGGACTCTTTATAGGTATAGTAAACCCTGTCTTTCCCCCCAAAGAGCTACCGGTGGTTTGAACTGCTGACCTTGTGTTTAGCAGCCCAAGGAGTAACCACTATGCCACCAGGAGAAGTTGATTTTGATTTGGAGGCACATAAGGTTTCTTTACAGAGCCCTGGGGGATGCTGTGGGATAAGCACTGGGCTACTGAATGAAAGATCAGTGGCTCAAATCCACCAGAAGTTCCTCAGGAGAAAGATGAGGCTGTCTTCGCCCATAAAGATTTACTGTCTCACTATGTATCAGAATAGATTCGATGACAGCACGTTAAAGCTTTTTTTTTTTTTTATAATTACATATTGGTTTTTTTTGTTTTGTTTTTTATTAAACATTTTATTAGGGGCTCATACAATGTTATCGCAATCCATACACACATCAATTGTGTAAAGCGCATTTGTACATCATTCTCAAAACATTTTCTCTCCACTTAAACCCCCGACATTAGGTCCTCATTTTTCCCCTCCCTCCCCGCTCCCCCCTCCCTCATGAGCCCTTGATAGTTTATAAATTGGTATTTTGTCATATCTTGCCCTGTCCGACATCTCCCTTCACCCACTTTTCGGTTGTCTGTCCCCCAGGGAGGAGGTCACATATAGTTCCTTGTAATCAGTTCCCTCTTTGCTACCCATTCTCCCTTTACCCTCCCTGTTTCGCCACTCACACCACTGGTCCTGTAGGGCTCATCCACCCTGGATTCCCTGTATTTTCAGTTCCTATGTGTACCAGTGTACATCCTCTGGTCTAGCCAGACTTGCAAGGTCGAATTCGAGTCATGGTAGTGGGAGCGGGGAGGAAACATTTAGGAATTAGAGGAAAGTTGTATTTCTCATCGTTGTTACATCGCACCCTGACTGGCTCATCTCCTCCCCGAGACCCCTCTGCAAGGGGATCTCCAGTGGCCTACTAATGGGCTTTGGATCTCCACTCCGCAGACATGATCAACTCCAAGCGAACAGATTTCCCAAGCTGGAAATACAAAACCAGAACTAGCTGGGGGGACGGTGGTGTGGGGGGCAGGACGGCAATACAACCTTCAAGCCAATTCCAGCTCATAACAACCCTCTATGGAGCAGAACTGCTCCTGCAGGCTCCCAAGGTGGTAAATCTTCATGGAAGCAGATTGCCTCGTCTCTCTCCTGCTGAGCAGCTTGTATAAAGCCCTGGTAAATATTGGCAGAGTTGAGAGTTGAAACCAAGATATAAAAATTGTATTTACTTCTCACAAAAAGATAAAGACTACATCCTCCAAGTCACATATGCACAGAGGGGGAAAAAATCAGATCTTAAAATGGCTATAAAGCTCGAAGTGGAAAAAAATGTTTTAACTGAGAATATTTTTCTTGAAACAAAATATATTATCAGTGGATATACAATGGGAGGGCATAATCGAAAGAAAAATGGTGTAAGAACAGTGATTTGTGAGCTCATTGAAAGGCCATGCTTTTCAAAGTGGGGGGGATGTTTTAAAATGTTTAAAATGCAAGGACCTGTCAGCATTTCAAAGGAGCCCTGGTGGCATGGGGGGGTTACGCACTAGGCTGCTCACTACAAGGTTAACAGTTTGAACACACCAACCAGAAAGACGGAGCTTTCTGCTCCCGTAAAGAGTTACAGTCTCAGAAACCCACAGGGACAGCTCTACCTGGTCCTGCCGTGTCGCTATGAGTCGGTACTCACTGGATGGGCATAAGCATTTCACAAAACTAACTTATCACAAAGTAAATTTCACTTCTAAAGCTACTCTAAGATATTCATATACTTACATTTATAACATCGTTCTAAATGTTTTTATAATGGAAAAATTAAGGGTTTTTTTCTGTTGTGTTGTTTTTAGGACCAATGTCTTATTCATTTTTAGGAGCAATTTCTTACTGATGGCAATCCCTGAAGTTAAGATACAAATAGAAATTAGAAAGCTACTCTGGACTTCTAAAGAAGCAAGCCTTCTTTCAGAGAATGAATAGCTGAGCTCCACTCTGGCAAATGACCTTCTTACCCCTACCTACTGTGGCTGTTTACTTTGAACCATCTTCTATATATTAAAAAATGAAGTACAGCTGAGTGAAAAGAAAAGTGAGCCAAATGTTTTATTATCTAGACTAAGATCAGCCATCCGTTTGGTTTGTTTGGGGATTAGTATCTATTTTTTCTTCCCCTTTGGAAAACTACCCAACTTCTCAAACTTTTAAGATTGAATATCTATATATACTAACCCCATCAGATGGTTGTAAAGAGTTTTTTTTATATGAAATTAGATAAGTATGACACTTGAAGTATAAAGGTCTTCAACTTTAAAAAGAAATTTGTATAGTCCTCAAGTATTAATTCACCAGGAATGATGAAGTGAACATCTTAACAGTGAATAAATTAAAAACCACCTTCCTCCCATATACAGCCCATAAATAGAACCTTTTTACTAAGAATTACAAGCACAAGAGGTTCTTCAGGTCACCCTAAACAGATGAAAATGTTCCTCTTGTGCCTGAATTTTGTTGTCTAAACTAGTTTTGGATGTAGTATCTCAGTTTATTCAATCTGTAGGCTAACCAAACAATCCAAGGAGCCGGGCTACATGAAAAACACCGTCAGGATTAAAGGAAGACTCATCCACAACCTGCTATATGCAGATGATACAACCTTGCTTGTTGAAAGCAAAGAGGACTTGAATCACTTTACTAATGAAGAGCAAAGACTTCAGTATGGATTACACTTCAACATAAAATTGGACCAAACTCCCTACCATCTTATCAATGCCGATTCACAGCAACCCTATCGGACAGAGTGGAACTACCTGTGCCTGTGAGGGTCAGAGGCTGGAACTCGTGCTGGGAGAGGAAAGCCAGGCTTTCTTCCGTGAAGCGGCTGGTAGTTTTTAGCGTGTTGTGATCACCTCAACATATAGAAAACAAAAATCCTCACAACTGGACCAGTGGGCAACATCATGATGGAGAAAAAAATGGAAGTTGTCCAGGATTTCACTTTGACCCCACAATCAATGCCTAAGGAAACAGTTGTCAAGAAATCAAACCAGCTATGCCAAAGAAAAAAATCTATGTATATTTTCAGTGGTAGAAGCAAACAAAGATCCTATAGGACAGAATAGGAATGCTCCATAGGTATCCAAGGTTATAAATCTTGAAGGAAACAGACAGCTTCATCGTTCTTCCCCAGAGCACCTTTCTCCCTCACAGTGACAGGCTGCAGGGTTCCCACCACTGCCCTCCTGGTTAGGAGCCAATAACTTAACCCCTTCATCTCCTGGGCTCCTCCAAAACAAAATCCAAACGCACTGTCAATGCAGACTCTCAACGATCCCACAGGAAGAGTAGAATTGCCCCTCTGAGTTTCCAAGACTGTAACTCTACTGGTAGGAAGCTTCCTCTTCCTTCCAGGAAAGAGGTTGGTGGTGTGGAACTCCTGATCTTGCAGTTAGCAGGCCAGCCTGTAAGCACCACACCAGTAGGGCTCCTCTGAGAGAGAAGCCCCAAGGAATAAAAGCTTTACTTCCAATTACACACTCAATACATTTTGTGCTCAATTAAACATAGGGCACAAATTGATCAAAAGGCAAACAATACAAAAAGCTTTCATCTCTGCAATTGCTGTGCAAGTCATTTTTTTAAGCTTTCCTAGAACTTATTTCTCAAGGGGAAGAATACAAGCAGGGGAAAGAGGGCCCCACTGCTTCCTGAGGGTGGTTCCTTTCATTCATTTCCAATCAGGTTTTAGCAACTGAGTGAAAATACGAAAAACAATCATAAAATGATGTTTTTGTGTGCAGTACGAATAACTTCAAATCCCCCTGCCATAACATTTTGTCTGTTCATGTCAGTCCTTCTTCCCCATGTGCTGATTTAATAATGTATTCAACCTATTAATATATTTAACTGCCAAAACTGCCAAAAGGCTAATGAAGAAATCAAGTAAGGGGAAAAGAGAGGGTCATAAAAACAACAACTAATAATATTTTCAGTATGCTATGAAAGGATCGTTTCCATTCATGTCACCCCCACATTACAAAGACTCCCTCTATTCAGAGATCTCAGAATGTTTTAGCACGCCTACCTTTCCTTGCCAAAACACACACTACACAAGCTCTAACACAGGCCGTATCTGTTAGACTGCTAGGGTAGCACACGGAAGTAGTGTCCTGTAATGAAATGTGCAACGTGTCAGTCAGTCGGCTTGGGAGTTTCTGGAGCGGCAGCAACGCAGCAAACCATCCTCACCAGCACGTGGGCCACAAAAAACCTGAACTTGGTGATGGTGATGTTAATGGTGGTAGTGGTGGTGGTGGCGATGATGTGATGGTCATTATAACATTTTTCTTCGCCCCCCCCACCCCCACTTTTTTTTTTAATGTGGGTGGGTGGGAAAGTCATAATACACTAGGTAAGGCCTCCCGACAGGGGGGCAGGAGACAGGGGGCAGGGGATAGATAAGGCATTCCTAGCAACTTAGAGTCCCCTGGAATAGGATGTTACTTTGAAGGCGAAGGGAGTAACTTTCATTCTCTTAAGCCTCACTCGTAGACGCTGATCGGCATTGACTGTTCTCGGAAAAGGCATCGACTGTGCGCTCAAAATATTTTGCCCCTTTTCTAAATACAAGTGCCTGCTGGAGTTAACCAATTTAAAAACCAGCGAAAGGGCCAAAGGGAGACCCTGGGCTGGTCTGCGACCCCCAAAGGGAGAGCCGGTTTCCTCTCTTTCCCAGACTGGCAAATTGGTCCCGAAGTGGGGATGGCGGCGGGGCGCCGGGGCAGCAGCACTTACCCGCGTTCACCCCCACGGCCGGCTCCAGCTTAGCTCCCGCGATGACCACCACTATGCCGACCATGAACCAGTCTTTCCTCAGCCTCTCCAGCAGCCCCATGCTTGTTAGGGTGGGTGGGTGGTGTTTGTTTGTTTGGTTTTTTTCCTTTTCCAACTGCGATCGCTTAATCCCCGGGGCTTCTCCACACTTTCCTCGGCCCCTCCAGACATGCAGCAGAGCGAGTCAATTTGCCGCTCGTGAACTACAGACTCCACGGAGGCTCCGGCGGCTTCGCGGCGGGCTGGGAGTAGTAGTCTCCGGTGACGGGAAAGGCGCGCCGCGCGCCGCCATCACTACCACTAGACTGCTAATAAACGCGCAGAGGCGGGACCCACGGCAGCTCCGGCCGCGGATTCCGAGCAAACGGAGGAGGACGTCGGCAAGTGCGGGCGTGTGCATCAGGGACAGAGATCGCTGGATAGATGTGATGCGTTTGCTGCCGCCAAGGCCGGCGATGCCGCCGGTGAGCATGGCAAGGAAAGTGGCGTAAGGCGGCACGGGCTCTCCTTTCAGGCACACCGGCCCGCGCGTCCACGCCACATCCATGGAGAGCCCCTTGCAGGATTCCTTCGTTGCCCTGAGGAGAAATGGTGTTTGGCTAGAGCGGAGAGGAGGCGAGCAGAAGCAGCACAGAGCGTGGTGGGTCTTTCCTGAAGGCGCGCTTATTCCAGGTATTACGACGCACCCCGCCGCCGGCGTGACGTAGAAGGGGGCGGGGCCTGGAGGAAGAGGCCACTCTCCTTCAGTTCCCGGCTGGTGTCGGACGCGCGGGCGGTCGCCAGGCCTCTGCGTTTCCCGGGCGGCCGGCGGGGCCTGGGAGGCGTCCCCTCCGACGTAAGGCGGAAGGGGCGAAAGGCGAATGCCCGCCGTTCCTCGCCCTCTGCACCCGGGAATGGCGAGCGGGACTCGCCACTTCGGTCGCCAGTGGTGGGCTCTGGGCCTGAGACCCACCACCACCTCCGGCCCTGGGGGTGGGGTGGCCGCACGCGTCCCGCGCCCAGTCGCCTGTCCCCTGTCCCCTGCCCCCTGTCGCCTGTCGGGAGGCGGTGGCAGACACTCCAGGCGCTGCGGCGAGCACTCAGGACTTCACCACCCACCCCGACTCCACATTCCACAGCGCGGGTGGGTGAAGTGGCGGCTTCGCTGCAAGACTGGGTGGCATGGTGCCAACTCCGGCTTGACCCCCAGAAGTGACCCACCGATGCGGCGAGAGGTCATTGAGAAGGGATGAGAGACACACCCCCACCCCCGCCCGCCCAAGGCAGACGCGGTGAAGGGCAGAGTCAGAGCAGGGACTCCTGGCTTTACTGGGTGGAGTATTTTGGTGCCAGATGACATTGACTCCTGAGTGGACGGCTACCTGTAGCCCCTGTGACTGACTCCTGAGTGGACGTCTACCTGTAGCCCCTGTGACTGACTCCTGAGTGGACGTCTACCTGTATCCCCTGTGACTGACTCCTGAGTGGACACGTCTACCTGTAGCCCCTGCCAGGTGCATCAGCACCTCCCTGCTAGGTCCATCTCCACAAGATAAATAAACTGCAAGGGTGCCATTTTGACGTGGCATGGAGTCTGCCCCTGTAATGGTTAACGGTGAAACTGACCTTTGCAAGGGGCATCTGGGATTGTTTAGTGATGCGAGGCTTTGATTCTGACTTGTATTCAAAGCTGGAAAGAGGTTCATTCTGTACAATCTTTTTCTTTTAGCTTTATCCTGAGGAAGTGACCCTTTCCAGCAATGAAACTGGCTTACACAGTTGTACTGCAAACTGTATGTTAGCACTTGAGTGTCCTCTAATGCATTCAGGCTTCATAAAGAAAAGCAAATCTCAAGAGGAAAAGAACCTAATAGGAAAACATGGATGCATTAAGAAATATTTTAGCGGGGGTAAAAAAAAGATGGATGGACATGGGGTGTGATTAAATCTGATGTTAATTACCAAGCAGCCACAAGATAAGTGGAGTTGCATGGAAGGTCGTGTGCAACACAGCTACTTTCTTGTAATTTCCACCAGGTTAAAGATCCATCTCAGTCTTGGAGGGAATGTTTTTCTTTATATTAAGGAATTGTTAAATATGCTTACAGAAATTGGGCTGCTTTATCTTTATGGTTGTTCACAAATTCATATTTACTATAAATTCTTTGATCTATGTAGCACAGTGTCTAACTCGTGGAAAGGATTTTCATTGTTTTTCAGGGTACTTAAAGGCAAAGAATATAGTATACCGTGAATCTTGTTAATGCCTATATTAATTCCCCATGTCTGTCAAAACAAATAGCTACAATTGGATGGCTTGATGAATGAAGTTGTCCAAAAGAAGGGTTGCAGGGAAAGATCTGTCCTTGCCTTGTTCACGTTCTAATAGCTATTGGCATTTCTTGTTTCCTTGGCTTGTGGCCACAACACTTTCTCTGTATGCCCAACTGGAGCTCCATTACTCTGACTGTTGTGTCCATTCTTCACATTGCCTTGTCCTCGCTGCCTGCTTCCCTAGGGATTAGACTCATGGCCCCATTGCATGGAGCTCAGGTGGCAGAGTGGTTACTCATCCTCAAGGTTAGCAATTGGTTACCACCAGCCAGCTCCCCAGAGAAAGACAGGACCTTCTAGTCCGGTAAAAATGTGCAGTCTCAGAAACACACAGGGTGTTCTACCCTGTCCCAAAGGGTCACTATGAGTCGCTGTTGACTCAGTGTCAGTTAGAAAATCTAGTATATTCTCATCATTCTGCTTTTAAAAATCATTTTACTGGGGGCTCTTACAGCTCTTCTAACATTCCATACATCATATGTATCAAACATATTTGTACATATGTTGCCACCATCATTTTCTAAACATTTATTTTCTGTTTGAGCCCTTGGTATCAGCTCCTCTTTTTTCCCTCCCCCCACCCTTGTGACCCCTTGGTAAATTAAATTATTAATGTTTTCATATCTTACATTTCCACTGTGTCCCTTCACCCATGTTTCTGTGGTTCATACCACTGAGGGGGGCGGGGTGTTATAAGTCAATCATTGAAATCAGTTCCCCCTTCCTCCCCGCACCTTCCCCCTACCTCCCTGGTACTCTCCTCTCATTTCTGTTCCTGGGGAGTTTACCTG